AAAGTATAGGCCATGAATATTAAAGCTTGGCGCCCAGACATTGGGCCAACAAGATTTATTGACTTCATCAACAATTAAAGCAGTAAAAGGTTGCTTTTTTAGACACTGACTAACATGGTTGAGTAAGCAAGAAGCAGACAGTATTTAATTGAGTGTGGAGTGCCTTTATTGGGTCTGATTTTTGAGATGCTTAAAGCAGAAGAAGTTATTTTTGTAGTAATAAAAATTGGCTTAACTTCTAAAAGTGATTTTTGAAAAGATAGTGATGGCTGCAAGATATTAGAACGATATTTTAAGAAAAAAAAATTTGTTTAGATTTTTGAACATTTTTAAAAATTTATTGACAGCTCTGTTCAGGAGGAAGGTGAGCAATTAGAGCTATATTAGTTTCTAGGATTAGTTTAGCTAGTCTAGATAGTTAATTTATCTTCACAAAAAATTTTACAATTTTTTCAAAAATCTCTATACCTCCCACCTTAACTTGTGCCTGTCTCCTTCTCTGCTGTCATGGGTTTATTCTGTTATCAAATTCAGTAGTTTCACAAAACTTTAGTCTAATATTTGATGACTGAAATGGGACTGTGCTCTGTAATAAGGGAACTGCATAATTTTGATTGCATATAAATTGCGATCATATCTCGAAGTTAATCAAATATTCTCTTGGCTTTTTTCGCTGGCTTACCAAATTAGCAGCTGCATGATAGCCAGAGTTTAGCATGCCAAATGCCAACCAATCAAAAGTAAATCAATATGAAACCAAATACCGATGCAGTGGGAAATGCGATTTGAATAAATGCGGCCACAAATAAATCGAACGCAGGTAAACCGAATGGGTTAGCCCATAGTTCAAAACATTTTGTGGTAAATGCAAATTTATTGCAACAAAAATTTGCGTAGCAATCGAACTGCGAATCGAACGGTGGACTCGTTGCCATTGCTGTTGCTGTTGCTGTTGCTGTTGCAGTTGCAGTTGCAGTTGAAGCCGCAGCCACAATTCGCATGCATGTAAAATATGCTAAAAGTAAATCCAACTTGAATTAATGGACAGCAATCTTTGGCCAAATCTTATGCATTTTCAAATGTGCACACACACACGACACACGATTGGAGGGGGTAATAAAAAGAGGAAAAATAGGAGAAAAAATACAACTGAATCCATTTGCATAGCAAGCGCAGCAGCAGCAAGGGTAGACCACAACAGTGAAGCTAACCGAAACCAGACCGAAACAGAAACTGAAGCTGAAGCTGAAGCTGATCCTTGGCACAATTTATGCAAATTCAATCGCAAAGTTTAGCCGCACTTTTGGTTGCGTTTTATGATGGCTTACAGCAGATGCAAGTGTTGGCCCTGGCCATGGGAATAACTGATTGGGGGTAGCATGGGAATGGATGGATGGCAGCACGTAATGGCCATGGAATCGCTGTCAAAATGGTGTTGCCTCCAGAGTCGGCCACTATTGTCATTGATAGCAAACATTTGTAGTGCAGTGTAAATTAAGCTCATTGATTAGCTACTGAAATGTAGTATTTTAAGTATTTTTTGGTATTTCATTTGTAAATATTTTCGTATGATACAAAACTTTTGTAGAGCAGTGTTAGCTTAGCCAATTGTCTGATCAATTAAAATCTGCACAAATCTAGTATTTTGAGTATTTTTTAATATTGAATTTTTAATTTTTATAGATATTCTCTTATGAAATTTTTGCAAATTTATTCTTTTTAGTATTTTTTAGTATTTTTAATGGTTATTTTGTTTTGTTACTAACAATTTGAAGAGCAGTGAGATATGTATTACTAGTTTCAGTATTTTTTAGTATTTAGTATTTAATATATTAGATTGAATATTTCGCTTTGATGCCAAACATTTGTATGCCAGTGTAAACTAAATCAATTCATCGCTTATTCAGTATGTTTTTCTTTCAATAATGCTTTGTATATATATATATATATATATATATATATATATATATATATATATATATATATTATCAAACTCATTTGGCTTACACTGATTACACTTCAATGCCGCACGAATTTAATCCAATTTCAGTTGCCGCCTGGCTTAAAGTTCTACTTATGACACATGCTGTAGGCTGAATGCCGCACGGCGTATGCCTTAAGGGCAACAACTCGCCAGACCGCAAAAAGTCATTCATATGTTACTTAACATTCAATTGCCTTCAATTCAGAAAGCGCTCGCAGACGCAGACAGCGACGGCGACAACAACAAAAGCTCACAAATCAACACCCACACATAGGATTCGCATCACACAAGCCGAATCACTGCTACAGCTACAAATGTAAAGACATACATATCTACATACATATATGTGCTCAGAGACATATGCACATATTTGTATGTTGGGAAGCATGTGACTCGACTTAGACGAAGTCGCTGGGTGATAATCACAACTAATGCGCCTGCTTTTCCGACTGCCTTAGTTACTTTGTTTTGTGTGTGTCTGTGTGTGTGTGATGGCAGCTTTTCACGTATTTGACTTGGGCTCAGCCAACGATTTGGTTCAAGAGGCGCTGACGGAGAGCCACTGCTCGAAACTTTGCTGTCAACCAAAGCGCACAGTTCCAATTGAAAAGAACGCCAAGCTGAGCACACAAGCGCTAAAATTAGAAAGCAAAAGAATTGTTTCGGCGGCTTCCTGAAGTTAACATTAGAAATGTGTGAGAAACATTAAGAAGCTCTTGTTAAAAAAGGAAATGTGAATTAAATTTGTAAAAACTATAAATATTTAAAAATTTTAAAGATTTAAAAAGTTAAAAAATTAAATTCAATTTTTTTATAATTACCAAAACTATTTTCTTAATTTTTTTATTTTATACGTAAAGTATTAAAATGCAAATTTAAAACAAGATATGTTAATTTAAAAACTGAAGACATAAATATATTATGGCTTAAAACCAAACTGAGCTTCAATCAAAAGTTTATTTAAAAAAAAATATATTTTATATTATAACTAATTAGAATTTAAAAAATTAAAAAAACTTAAAAATATTTATATTAAATATTCAAATTTATAATTTTGCTAAATATATTTTTTTTTATTCTTATTACTTTTATTATTACTTCAGCATCTCAAAAAAAAAAAAAGTTTCCTTAAGTTTTCGCACTAAACATTCTGTTAAATAATAAACTTCAAAAACGTTAGTAAATTTGCTAAAGACCATTTTGTGTGTTTTTAGCGTATTTCGGTTATATGAAAACTTCAAACTCAAATAGTTGAAGTTTGCCATTTTTATTTGACAGCTGCTCTGTTAACAGTTACCAAGAGAACTCTTTCGAGCACTCGACAGGCAAAGCAATGTGCAAGCTTTCAGTTTGCTGCTGTTGCTTTAACTGTTATTTTTCTTCTATTTCTGTCGCTCTCATGCACATGCACATACAGATGTACAGTTGCTTCTTCTTCTTTCTCTTCTACTTTTTGCGCCTTCCAATGCCACTTTCGCTGACACTGACATTTAAAAGCATTGACTGCCGCAGCTGCAGTAGCAGCAGAAGCAGAGGCAGAAGCTAACGACTGTCAATAACTGCTTTGCCAACCTTTTGAAAGTGCCAAAGGAACAGCCGTAAAATAGTTGGCAACGCGACAACAAGGGCAACAATCTTACACATGATTGGCCAACTGCCTGCTGCAGTGAGTGTGCAAAAGAGAGAGGGAGAGACTTGAGCGCTTGCTGTTACGCTCCAACAACATGATTATTTTGTGTTTATGCAGCAGCTCAGCTGCAGACAGAGCTGCAGGGCGGCAGGCAGCTGAGCAAATAGTTTTTTAAACTTAAACAATTTGAATGGACCCTCAAGATTAGGGTTTTTGGAAGAAGATAAAAGCTCTGTGTCGCCTTGTGTGGCCTCTTAAAGGTCTTCCAGTGTTCTATCGGAGCATTGAAATTGTTGCTATCGACGGCTACTGTTGCGCCTTATCGCGCTGGCAGACACATTTAATTTCGGAAACATCATAAATCGATTAACATTTCGAAATTCCAGACGCCGCAGCATCATTAACAGCAGCGAAACTTTCCGACAGCCATTAGACCCTTTTCAAAGGCTAGCCCAACGTGGCCCGAGGCGCTAATTTGACTTTTTGTTACTGTGGCAGCACGAGCAGCTACTCATCTGACAGTTGGCTTAACTGAACGGCCTGCATCCGACAGCCACTTTTAACAGCACCCCAAGAACGCCCGAGCCAGATACCATTTCAATGTCTGCCTGTCATATCTGACATTTTGCGCTAATGCATTTGAATAAGCTTTGGTAACTGGGCTAGCGGATCGGACGGGCTGTGGGCAGACAGTCAAATAGTCAGACTGCCAAGCAGACAGACAGTCAGTCAACTAGTCACGTCAGTTTATCAGTTGCTCACTTTGTCAATCTTTCAGCTTGGCTTAGGCGCCTCGAGTGATTTGCTTTACTAATAAATAATTAAAGTTTCTTGACGTTGCGCTTGCGGTTGATTTAGTTCCTCCCAAAACATGCCACAAACCCGAACTTCCTCTGCCCCTAAACGGTGCCTGTGCAGTCCCTCGCTGCTCTTGTGGCAAACAACAAAGCCGCCTCAAGCTGTTGTTGTGGCAACATTAATCTGTGCATCATTACGCGTCTTCGATTGTCTACGGCTCTTGCCATTCAGCTTGGCATATGAAATGCGAGAGTTTGGCAATTGAGAAATGCGAGTAAGTGGGCTAAGAGAGAACTTTACAGTTAGACAGATTAAAGCACAGCTTATTGAGTGTGCTTCAACTTCAAGTAGATCCTGTTTACCTTTCCTAAAAGCCTATATAAATATTATCAAAACACTTTATATCTCACGCCCTGCCTCCAGCTTTTTGTCAGCCAATTTATGGTTTGACTGCTCAAATCACAACATGTCACACCTGGCGAACGCCCACGAGTCGATTAGATACGCTGCCATGGGAAATTTATGTTGATTTTATTTCAAAATGCAATCATAATTTATGCAAATCACTTGAAAACTATTCAAACTCACTTTTCTATATCTGTTGAACAAATCGTGCGATTTATGCGGCAACTGCGACATACCTGAAACGATAACAAGAGATCCAATTAAATTATTTACAATACATGCGTGTGTGTGTGTGTGAGTGTGTAAGGCAATTAATTTTTATGGTTCTGCCTGTGAGGTAAAGCTAATTTTCATAATTTGAATACATAGTTTATGGCTTTAATGAGAGCGACCAAATTGCAGCGCCTACAAGGCGTATGAGTGATGTTTGGTTGCATTTTTAAAAATGCGGCGCAGCGTGAGCCACGGGGGAGGGGAGTTGGAGAGTGTGAGGACCACCAGCTGCGCAGCAAGCTGGCTGCATGCAGCACATAAATTTCGCTTTGCTCAACTCATTTGCATGACAAAGTTGGCCAAAAAAATAGAAAAAATCCACGCTTCAGCTGTCCAACAGCGACGAGCCCCGAGGCACATTGTGGGCGTGTTAATTATCCACTAATGTTGCCTGTTTAAAGCACAGCAATGGGCTTGAACTTTGACACATGTACGCTCCGTGTGCCGCCACAGTTGCAACACGTGTGTCTCATCGAGCATGGAGCGACGCGCCCACTTGGCCTCCATTTGGATTGCGACTGCGCCGGCGACTGTCACAATTCCCGTAGCTTTGCGGCCCTTTATTAATGATCTGGGCGCAGCTTAAGGCGAGACACGAGACGCCATCGAGAGGCAGACTGAGAGCTAATTGATTTTCTGAGTGCCAAAACTGTTGCGGGAGGTCGCCACATTTCAAGTTGCACAACACTTCGAGGCACTGTGGCATTGTCATTAGCGCCAACATATTGTGGCACGTTTTCTAATTACGTATGTAATACATCGCATAATTACGAGCCGCCAAAGATGCCCAAAATGAAAGTAAAGCGCGACCAAATGGCAGCAACACACATTCGTGGGCGAAACGAATTGGCCAAATGATGCTTGAGCATGGACTTTGAGTATCTACGGGCTGACCCACATTCAAATAGTTATATTACCTAAAAGTTGCTTTGCGTATAATTCGAGATGACTAAGGCAGGCGAGAGACTTTTGCAAAGGGCAGTTAGAGAGTAAAGTTTAATAAAAATAATTACACAAGTCAACAAAGTCTAAGTACTCAGCAGCAGAGTGTACTTTGGTTAAAGATTTGGAACTATTCAAGCAAAATATTTTTATTAAATTGTAAGCGAGAGAGATTGAGAGAGGAAGAGTTAAGTCGAGAGAGGAGAGCATTGAGAGCAGCTGCTGCAGAGTTGATAACTCTGTTAAATAAAATGTAAAAAATATATGAAAATATAAAAACATGTTCAAAAGGGGTATGAACAATGCTAGATAAAGTAACTGTATTTGAGAACTGATCAAAAAAACCAATTGCTGGGCAACTCGAGTGTAGCTGAAGTAGGCATTATTTTTGCACTTGTTGTGCTCAGAGCTCTACTGTTTTGCGATTCGCTCTTAGCAGAACAAAGTATAGTATATATATAATATATATATGTGTGCGATGCTAAGGTATAAAAATATTTAACTTGCAACTTCCTTGCAGCTTGCTCTTCGAATTTTCTCAATGACTTTACTAACGCCTTTGCGATCAGAGCGAGAACGTGATTCCAACTCCAAATGCCTGCATAAGAAATGCAAAAAAACCAATGTCTATATAAAAACATATGCTATATTATATAATACAAAATATAGAGCATAACATATAATTATAGCAGCTTCTAGCATATAGACTAGACTATGCTTTATGGACTTGTTTACTTAAGTAGACATATTTTTGTTAGCCTTTGTTATTTATTTATTAAAGGCATTTTGACACAATTTTAATATATTTCAGCTATAAATATTTATAATATAGTAAGCCTATATAGACTCAATTTTTTCTTATTTTATTTTAATACAAAATTTGAATTTTCTATAAAAGCAATAAATAAATTTTCTATTAAATAAAAAAATTTAAAATATTAGTGCAACTCAGCTGAATAACAAAAACACAAATGTATTCCATGAATTACTATATATATCCAAATTTAATATAGAAAAATATCAAACTTTGAACTGCTTTGCTGCTCAGCAAACCTCTAACCTGCATTGAGTCAACAAATCCACTTAACTTTCCATTGTCTTCACTACTTAAATAATAAGCCAAGCTCATAATACTTTAATTATAAACCAATTATATTTATTTCAGTTTGAAATTTTTGTTTGGTTGCACAAAAGAAAGGCTCAGAGCCACTTTAAGCCATGTGGGCGTGCGGCAAAGTGTCATTTAAGTAAGCCATAAAGGAATCAGCCACAGCCACAAGTCCAAGTTAGCAAACTAGCAAACAGTTTAAATGGCTTCATTGACGCTGTGAGTTTATCCAGGCCAAGTTTATGGCATGCTTTTAAGTTTTACAGCATTTGGCCAGAGCCAGCGGCGGCCTCGGCTGCTGGCTTTGACCAGCATGTGTCGAGGGCGTTGCTGATAATGTCTCATGGATAATAATGACAAGGGCAACATTTCGCTGATAATCATAAGTATTCAGCTCGTTGAGCTTTTCTCATTACACGCTGATGGCTTGCTCTCTCTCCCCCACTCGCTCTCTCTCTCTCTCTCTCTCTGTCTCTGTCTTTCTCGCTGCTGGCATCATTTACACTTTTATTCAATGTCCCTCAGGCAAAAGTCGCACATTTCCGTTGACTTTTCACAGTGGATGATGACTTTCTGCTTCTTGCTCTTCATTTTCAGCTCGCTGTGAGTGTGTGTGTGCGTGTGTGTGTTGTCTGTTATCCGTGAGAATTTCAGCACGCATTTACTTTATATTTGCGCTAATCTTCATCAGGTGCTTTTAGCGTGCGTGGAGGGTCGAGCTGCTTGTTAAACTATCTTTATAAACTACTTGATTTTCTTTTTAATGCACTTTTCTTTAGCTTTTGCTTTTCAGCAATTTTCCAGGTGATTAATTTTAGTAATGTGGATATGGATGCTCAAGTTTATGCCGCGCTGCAAGGTACAGGAATTTAAAAGTTCAAATGCACATTGCAGTGGCATTTATTGAGTCGGCATTGGCCATTCCAAATGTGGACAGCGACGAATTGTGGCAGGGGGCAACAATTGCATTGCTGCTGTTTGCTACTTTGGCCAAAGCGAGGTTCAACGCACAGCTGCGGCCAGCAAAACAAAGAAAATACATTAGACGAGGCCAGTCCAGGCCAGGCCAGTTACAGAAGCCGTGCTGGCCATGCTGTTGACCAACTGCAATTGGTTGGCCGTCAGCGGGTTCATGGCCAAGTTGAAGAAAACAATTTTGTGCGCGGCTGCAGACGAAAATTGCTGCCACGCAGGAAACCAACTCGAAAAATCTATTATTGAAATCTATAAAAGAGGTGAGGCGAACATTGGGAAAGCAACTTCCACTTCTTCTGCTTCTCTCTTCTTTTTTTTTTTTGGTCAGGTTCGCTTAAGAGCTTTATATACATTTTTAATATGGTAACAGGGGAGGGCGACAGCGACTGGCTAACTAACTGGTCTAAAGGGTCGAGTCGGGTCGGGGCAGATGCAACGATAACAGCTACATCAACAACAACAACAACAACAATTGGCAACTATTAAAGTAGCAAATGATGTTTTTTTTTTTTGTTCATACGGCTGGGCAGGGGGAAGCACGCGCATAGAAAATAGATTAAAATGGGAGTTTGGTCATTTTGTGGGATTGGCGTAGCGAAACGTACTCAGACCCCGAGTCGGGTCTAGCAAATCTATCAGCTTGAAAATAGCTTCAAATCTGATAAGGCGGCGAAAGGCATTGAAGCAGCGCCAAGGCAAATGCAGACACAGAAACAGGAACAGAAACAGAAACAGAAACAGAAACACAGCAACAGACAGCAGAGCTTCAGTTGCAACTACAACTCCAACTTCAACTTCAAGAGCAAGTCCAAGTCCGAGGCGGACTGGCGGCTGCAGCAGCTGGGCTTTGCCATTCGGCCAACAGAGGGCGCTGTGCGCTAATGCAGTCGTCGCAAAGGAAATTGATGATGTGGATGAATGAACATTGAGCAAAGTGATTAAGATTACGTTAGAATGATAACGGGACAACCAGAGTACACAATAAATCGAAGCAAGCGAATTGCAATGAAATTGCATTAAAAAAAAAACGGAAGAAATTCGAGTGGGTTGCAGGGAGCATTAGGACCCTCGGACTCTCGGACACTCGGACATGGTTGAGCATTAAGCAAATGCTTTTTACATTTTGTTAAAGACAATTTCAATAAGGTTCAAGTGCTTTGAGAGAGCTTAACATTTAATTTGAGTGTCTCGTGCATGAATTAAATTCCTTAAAGCATTGAACTCGCTGACTTTCCGCTTAATTTCTGAGCATTCATCAGAGTTATATTGAGAGATTTATAGCTGACAAAAAAAAACCTTGAATTGAATATTGTTATATTATAAATCATTTATGCTATCATCTGCATATGAAAGGTAGCCCAAATGAGATATTCAGTGAGCTAATCTTTATGCGGGCATTAGCCATAAATACATTGAGTGTCTGTTAACCTATAGACATCATATCATTTTACATGGCATAGGCAGTTTACCCACTCAATAGCCCACACAATGTATTCGCTTGATAAAGCCTCTAAAAGCTGCTCAAACAATACAACCCGCACAACAACAAGAGAAGAGAAATAAGTTGAAGATGTATCGCAGCATCTCTTTGAATTTTTTTCTTCTTCGCTTAGCTTAAGCGATTTCCCATGAAAAATCATTTGGCGCATAAATGCATACGGCAAGGAAAGGCGTTTAAATCAGCACTACAAATGCGACTCAGCCCTCACACACAGACGCATGCAACATTAAATTTCCAACACTTGAAGTGTGGATTTCAAGAAAGCCAATCAAAGAGTCAGCAGCAGCAGCAGCAGCAGCAGCAGCAGCATCTCCTCTTGCTCCATTACATATGCATACATCGAACAAAAGATAACCCAGCCACAACAGAGCCTCGGAGACTTGGAGACTTGGCGAGTTGTAGACTTCAATAGCAGCTCACATCAATAGTTCGCTATC